CCATAAAACTCCTAGAAGAAAACATAAGGAAGAAACTCATCAATATTGGTCTTGACAATGATTCTTTTTTTTTTTTTTTTTTGACATGTTGCCAAAAGCACAAATAAAAAATGCAAAAATCAACAAATGGGACTACATCAAACTCAAAAGATGCTGCACAGCAAAAAGAAACAGTCCACAAAATGAAATGGCAACCTACAGAATGGGAGAAAATTTTTGCAAACTATATATCGGATAAGACATTAATATCCAAAATATAAAAATCAACATGGCAACAATAACAAATAATCCAATTAAAAAAGTGCCCGCGCCCTGGCCGGTTTGGCTCAGCGGTTAGAGGGTCGGCCTGCGGTCCTGAGAGACCTGGGTTCGGTTCCCGCTAGGGGCGCGTACCTCGGTTGCAGTTTGTCCCCGGCCCTGGTTGGTCGTGCGGGTTGCAGCCACTCGATGTGTTCCTTTCATATCGATGTTTCTCTCTCTCTCTCTGTTCCTCTCTCTCCCTCCCACTCTACCTGAACAAAAAATGGAAAGATGTCCTCGGGTGAGGATAAAAAAAATAAAAAATAAAAATAAAAATAAAAAAGTGCCCAGAACTAAATGGACATTTTTCCAAAGAGGACACCAACATGGTCAACAGGACCTTGAAAAGATGGTGACTATCACGAATTATTATAGAAATGCAAATCAAAACCACAATGAGATGTCACCTCACATCTATTAGAATGACTGTCCTTAAGAAAACAAGGAGCAACAGGTGCTAGAGAGGGTGTGGTGAAAAGGGAACTCTTTAAAATAAAATGTTTTTATTGATATATTAGAGAAGCAGGGAGAGGGAGAGAGAGAGAGAAACATCGATGAGAGAAACATCTATCGGCCGCCTCCTGGGGATCGAGGCTGCAACCTAGGCATGTGCCCTGACTGGGAATCAAACTCAGTCTATGAGACGATACTCAATCCACTGAGCCACTCCAGGCAGATGAAAAGGGAACTCTTATACACTGCTGGTGAGATTGTAAATTAGTCCAACCGCCATAGAAAACAATGTAGACGTTCCTCAAAAATTAAAAATGGAGACGTTGAGCATTTTTTCACATGTCTCTTGGCCATTTGTTTGTCCTGTTTGGAGAGGTGTCTATTTAGGTCCTCTGCCCATTTTTAAATTGGGTTCTTTGTCTTCTTTTTGTTGAGTTGTATGAGCACTCTGTATATTTTGAAAATTAACCCCTTATCTGATGCATTGGCAATTATGGTACTAACCATCAGAGAGATGTAAATTAAAACAACTATGAGGTATCCTCACACCTGTCAGAATGGCCGCCATCAACAAATCATCAAACAACAAGTGCTGGCGAGAGTGTGGAGAAAAGGGGACTCTAGTACACTGCTGGTAAAAATGCAGAGTGGTGCAGCCACTATGGAAAACACTATGATATTACCTCAAAAAGTTAAAAATTGAACTGCCATTTGACCCAGTGATCCCACTTCTAGGACTATACCCTAAGAAGCCTGAAACACCAATCAGAAAGAATATATGTACCCCTATGTTCATAGCCACACTATTTACAATAGCTAAGTGTCCATCAGTAAATGAGTGGATAAAAAATCTGTGGTACATGTACACAATGGAATACTATGCAGCTATAAGAAAGAAAGATCTATTAACCTTTGAGATGACATGGAGGGACCTGGAGAGTATTACGCTAAGCGAAACAAGCCAAGCAGAGAAAGACAAATATGACATGATCTCAGTTATTTGTGGAATATAATGAACAAAACAAACTGATGAACAAAATTGACCCAGAGACATAGAGGTGGAGTACCGACTGACAAACCTTAGAGGAGGGGTTGTTGGGGAGGGGAAAGATAAACCACAGAACTTATATGCATGTACGCATGACCAAAGGCCATAGACAACAAAGCTGGGGATGGGGCATGGGGGATGGGGAGGAGGGTGTCAATGGGGGAGAAAGGAGAAACATCTGTAACAAAAACAAACTGATAAAAAAATAAGTAAAAAAATAAAAATAAAATTAATAAAGAAAAAAATTAAAAATAGATCTGTCATATAGTCCAACAATGACACTTCTGGGGTATATATCCAAAGGATGTGAAAACAGGATTTTGACAAGATATAGGCACACCCACGTTTATCAGAGAATTATTTACAACAATCAAGATATGGGAACAACCCAAATGCCCGTCAGTGCATGAAGAGATAAAAAAGATGTGGTATATATGCACAATGGACTATTATTCAGCCATGAGAAAAACAGACATCCTACCATTTGAGACAACATAATTGGACTTTGAGTACATTATCCTACACATAATAAGTCAAGCAGAGAAGACCAGTACTGTATGATATCACATATACAGTATGGGAAATCTAAAAAAATAAGTCCTACCTATAAAAAAACAGAGTGAAATGATAGCAGGGGATAGAAGGTGAGGGGTAAGATTGATGGTGTTTAGGGTACAAACTTGTAATGAGCAGTAATAGAGACTTTCTGTGCAGTATAATAAATACAGTCAATATTACTGTACTATAATGATGTGATTTGATACATATGGCTTCAACTGCAATCATGTTACAATATATAAATGTTTCAAAGTAACACGCTCTGCGCCTTAAATTTACACACTGCAACTTTTTAATCAAATTTTATCAAATCAAATAAATAAATTTTAAAAAATAAAAGTGTTGTAGCCCAGCCTGTGTGGCTCAGTGGATTGAACATCATCCCACTGACTGAGATTCCTGGTCAGGGCACATGCCCAGGTTGTGGGTTCGATCCCCATGGCATGCAGGAGGCAGCCGATGGATGTTTCTCTCTCACATAGATGTTTCTATCTCTCTTTCCCTCCCTCTCTCTCTAAAATATCAATGAAAACATATTTTTAAAAATAAAAATAAATAAAATAGTTTTACGTAGGAATAAATACATAAAACTGTGGAGTGAAGGTTCCATCTCCTCTCCTGAGAATCCGTTTGCATATGTTGTATTTTCCCTGACTTACGCTCTTCCTCTCGCTTCAATCCTCTCCATGCCTCGTGGAGACCCCTAAACCTTGTGTTGCACCCCAGATCTACATGTAATGCCCCGTGTGAAACTTCCCAGTGCACTGCCCGTCCCTCCATCAGACCTCTCCACCTTTCCACCGGTTCCGCTCTACCTATTACGGTCTCTGTGCAGTGCGTTGACTTCCCTGGACTGAGCTTTGGAAAGGCGGTGAACAGACGCTTCTTCGTCTGGTTTGCCACAGTGCTGTGTGCGATGGCAAGTGCGCCGTGTTTGTTGCGTGACTGAGGTTTGCAGAGGGCTGTATCGGAAGAACATCGCTACACTGCAGTCGGAAGTTCCGCCCATCACTGGACCACGCGCTCTGCACCGCTGTGGGTGTGGCTGGGGGTAACTCCAGAGAGAACAGGGCTGGGCAGTGCCGTCTCGAGCCCAGGCCTGTCTCATTTAGCGGGAGGGTTTCCAGAGCTTCGTTATAGTTCAGCAGTTGCATGCAAGGTGGCCCTCCACCTGCTCGTGACCTCGCCCCATGGGAATAGATTCTGTTGTTTTATTCTGGATGGACTTTTCTTTCTTTCTTTCCTTCTCTTTAATCCTCACCTGAGGATATTTTTCCATTGATTTTTAGATAGAGTACAAGGGAGGGAGAGAGAAAGAGAAACATCCAGGTGAGAGAGAGACATCTATAAGTTGCCACCCACACGACCCCATCCGAGGCCGGGGATCAAACCTGTAACCCAGGTGTGCTCCCTTGACCAGGAATCAAACCCAAGACTTTGGTCCATGGGCTGACTCTCTAACCGCTGAGCCAAACCAACCGGGCAATGGTGGACTTTTCTATTTTATAGAGTTTTCTGTTCAAATCCAGAAATGCCCTTGGGATGCTAATACATAACAATTAATACCTTTGTTATCTGTGAGCACCTTACCCAGGATTATAAAGACTCAGTTTGTGGGGTAGTTGGAGAGAGGAATTGATGGGGGGAGGGTGCGGCAGGGGGGTTGAGGGGCGGGGGATAAGGCCAGGAGAAAGGAAAGGGTTGGTGCTGTTGAAACAGGAATATTCCTAAACAAAGTTCAACTTTATGCACTATTGCATGGCACCCACGGAGGTGCACCCCGAAAGCTGCCATCCAGACAGGCATGGCTCCCATTCATTTATTGGCTCTTTATTCCCTGCTTACGAATTATCTAGTGTATGAACATTATCCCTAACCTTTAAAACTGCTTATAAGATAGGTATAATTACTCCATTTTTTAAATGATAAAATTGTGACTCACAAAGGTTACATTACATAGTGACAATTGCCCATCTAGTAAGTAGACAAAGTAACATATATATATTACAGTGTTACAGATGTTCCCCATTTTCCTCCTCTTTACCCCCCTCTACCCAGCCCCTACCCCCACCCCAGGCCTTCACCGCACTATTGTTTTTGTAAGTAGGGGTTTCAGCTGGGCAAGGAGGAAAGGGTAAGAAAGATTAGACATTTTTTCTCATCAGTCTGGTATATCCTCATTGCTGTTGCCATGACATTATTTCAAATCCTCAAATTGCTATGGAAACTCGGTGTTACCCCTTTCTGACTTGGTGTCGGCCTTGGTGAAGAATCAGGGGAACCAAGATGGCTAATCTTTCATCGCTCGCCAGGAGGAAATCCAGCTCGTGTCTTTGTTTGTAGTGAAAAAGAAAAAAATAAAATGGAATGAATCTGTGCTATACAAATGAATCTCTCAGCTGTTTGCTAATTTCTACTGTTTACCCGAAAGTGGGAAACACCAGGCCTGTGATACATCATCTTTTGTGTGCTTGGCACCCTCCATGAGGAATCATATTAATCTGCTCAAACTAACAAGGATTAATTGCCTTGGGAAGGCAACCCAGCATCGTCATGATATATTGCCAGACATCTTGGAATCTGGCCACTCGTAAATCTCATTCTTTGTTGGTTTATCTCTGTGTGTCTCTTTCCCTGACAGGTGTGTGCCCAATCACTGTGAGCATGACGGGAAGTGCTCCCAAACCTGGGACAGCTTCAAATGTACCTGCGATGAGACGGGGTACAGCGGGGCCACCTGCCACAACTGTGAGTGCCCATTCCTTCGAACGTGTAATTGCATGAGATTCCCAGGCCGGGGGCTGGGCGTTCGAACTCAGCAACCTCATAGTCCACGTGTGGAATCACTCGATTTTGAAGAACCCAGATTTGCTGTTGTTTCTCTCCAGAACGGTATTCTGGTTGTGAGAATACCTGCCTACCGACTCAGGGAGAAGCCAGCACGTTCCAGTGTTCTGTACACACCTAGTGGAACTTGGAACGCTGGGCTCGGGTGGGACTCAGTGTGTCCCCGCTGTCTGTCTGGGTAGATGGGAAGTGTGACGTCTCTGTGATCAGTTCATCAGAGAGGCCGAGAGAGTGCAATTGGAACCTTTACTTTCTGGAAAATGGTTGTCTCAAGCTCCATCACAACTCTCTGGCCACATGTTTTTTTTAGAAAATGTCAGAAAAATATGAGTTAGTAAAATGAAGTTCGTTGACGTGGTGTATCTAAAATAAAAACCCAAGGAGACAAACTTTTTAAAAAATGTTAAAGATAAAAGCATGCAAAGATAACTAGTAAAACACAGAAGAGCCTTGTTTTCTGTAATGGCTTTACCTTGAAAAGGTAAGTCAGCTTAGTGCTTTGTAATTCAAGGAACATTTTTAAAGGAATATTAATTCTATAATTGTACCAGTAACTCTCCAAAAATGCATTGCTGTTTACAAAGCACTTTTGAAAACAGATTTGCCATACAACATGTAGTTGAAAGAAAGTCATCTGTGTGTGTGTGTGTGTGTGATTGTGTGTGTGTGTGTGTGTAGGAAGGAAGGAGGAGAGAGATTCAGTCTCCTTCAATTTTCTCTCAATATTCTGAAAAACTGAAAATCTAATATTGAAACCTTCTTATACAGACTGCTTTCCCTTCACTTTTAAGAAACAAAAACAAGCAAAATATGGTGTTCAGAATATATTGGGAGACCTCAACTAAGAAAAAATACTTGTAATTTATTTTATTGCACTTACTGATTTCTTTAGGAAGATATTTTAAAACGGGACAAAATGAACCCCAAAATTAACAAGAATATGAAGATATTAAATAGAATAAAAACAGATACTCTTAGTGATTCATTATCTACAAAGTATTTATATATAGGTACTGAGGAAGTATTTATAAAGAACAAAACTGATATTTGAAATTAATTAGAATAAAGGAGTTATAACTAAAATCGCCTTTCCAATCACACCAAGTGCATATTAACTTTCGGCATATAATACTCACTATATGATACATCTGAATTAGACAACTTTGATAAAGCTAAGTACTTTTACCAATATAATTCATATAGCATTGCCTTATAAATATCACCTTTAACTACAAGGGATTTTGTTTCTGAATATGGAAATCTTAACTAAAGACAAAGAGCTAGAAATTGTTGGTGGTTATAAGCGTATCCTATCTCAGTGACCACTTTGATGTTGAATTGAAAAGCAAATAATTATTTTTAAAGCTGCTGAAATACCCAGCAGAGAAAAATATTTTTTTCTTAATCTGCACCTGAGGATATTTTTTTTCCACTGAATTTTAGAACAAGCAGAAGGGAGGGAGAGAAGAAAAGAGAGAGGGAGACAGAGAAACTTCGATGTGATGGAGACACATCAGTTGGTTGCCTTCCACATGCACCCAGAGCAGGGCCGGGGGTCACACCTGCAACCCTTGTGTGCTCAGGCTGAGGCTGTAACCACTGAGCACACTGTACAGGGCACATTTTAAAAACACTTTAAATTTTGTTTTTATTGATTTTTTTTTAGAGAGAGAGAAAGGGAGAGAGACATAGAAACATGGATGTGAAAGAGGAATATCAACTGGCTGCCTCCTGCACACCCCCTACTGGGGATCCAGGCTGCAACCCAGGCATGTGCCCTGTCTGGGAATTGAACCAGGACCTCTCAGTCCAAGGGATGACACTCAATCCACTGAGCCACACCGGCTGGGCTAAAATTTTTAAAAATATGCTACTGGTTGAATAGTTGAGATTTTTTTTTTTCTTTATTGATTTTAGAGAGACAGGAAGGGAGAGGGAGAAAGAGCTAGAAACATTAATGAGAGAGAACATTGATTGGCCGCCTCCTCCATGCCCCCCACAAGGCATCTGGCCCATATGTGCCCTGACCGGGAATCGAACCAGCGACCTCTTTGTGTATGGGTAGATGCTCAACCACTGAGCCACAGCGGCTGGGGGACTAGTTAAGTTTTTTTAAAAATAGTAGTAACTCCGAGTATTAGAAACGTCCTAAGTGCGTTTAGGTTCGGCTCTGGTGCAAGCTTTAAATGCATAAAAGGGAGACTGTCTCCTTCCTGCTGCTGGTCCCTACTGAACCCGTGTTCCATTTTTACACCTAGAATAGTCGGATCACGCATTTTCACAGCGAGACCCTGACCCCTCATTGTCCCCTCTCCACGAGGCCATAATCGCTGTGGGAAAATGATACGCCCCGTAGCGTACTGAAGGGTACGTGCTGCCCATAAACTGAAAGGGTTGTTACATCCCTTCTTTACTCCCCTGGATTAGTCAGGCGTTGGGAGTGTCTAGCCCGGCCCAAGAACAACATACACATATGCAATACATGCCGTTCAGTTTGATACAGAACGAAGCATTCTGCACTTGCCCTTGGCCAAGGGCTGTGTTCCTACAAGGGCATCGCTAGCCGCGTGCCAGCCGTGGTGATGGCGCCCGTGCCCTGGTAGCGGCCTTCTGACTGCCCTTGGGCTTCCTCCCCTCCCTCCGGCGGGGCTCCGAGCTCTTCCAGGTCTGACAGCCGGGAGCAGAGACTTCCGGTCGCTTCCTCTGTCTTCTGTGGATGCGAACGTGGTTAGTGCTACTAAATGTTCCACCTCCTTTTCCGCAGAGGACGAAACACTGCCTTCCGCACGGGAGTTACAGTTACGCTGGGTTTGTAACAGTGGTGCTTTAACCGGGTCAAGAACCGTTCAGTGAAACCGTCACTTTGGTATAACTCAAGGTTTCGTGGCTCTTCCAACATCACAAGTAGGCTACTATGTCAGCACATTTTCTGTTTTGTTTCTCTCTGACTTTTTTTTTATTAATTTATCTTTATTGTGGAAAGTATTCCAGATGTCACCCTTTTGTTCCCCATTGAGCCCTCCTCCCAGCTCCCCACTGACCCTGCCTTCGCCCTACTGCTGTCTGTGTCCATTGTTATGACATGTGCACATCAGTTATTTGGTTTATCTCTTCCTGCCCCCCCCACACTTTCCCACTGAGGTTCAGTGGTCTTTCTCCACACGGTCCAGGCTTGGGGGGTGAGACAGCTATTTCCCAGGTACCCGTGATCAGCCGAGCCCGAGGTTGTAGTCCAGAGTGGAATCTAGAAGCCCTTCTTCGGTAGGTCACGCTGCCCGGCCTTGAACTTGGCCTGGACCAGTGACCTGTCTGTAACCTTGGACACTTAAACTCTGTGGTTCAGTTACCTCTTGCGTGAGACGAGCCCAGTAGCAGCACCCTCATGTCCTCATGTAGCCCCTGTGGGACGAAAGGAGACGAGGTGACGAATGGAAGACGCGGAGGTGGGAGTGGCCTATGTCCGTCTCAGTCACGTCCTGCAGTTCATCATTCCTTAAAGAGCAATCACCCTTTGGCTCCGAACTTTTATACCAATGCCGTCCACGCCACACTCTGCCACTGAACTGTGACAGTCCTGGCTGGCTGTCGTCTCCACGGCGGACCCAGGCTTCTCGTGAACGGTGGGTTCCCATCGGTGTTTGTTGTTGGTTTTCTCCCCAGAAGAATCGAACGTAATTGAAAATGACCTGTATATGACCTAGGCCCCTGTCCATGCATTTATCTGTTCGTTCACACAGAGAACTTCTTCTCTAGTGGTCCCTGTGGGGCTCGGGGGACCATCATGACAGGCCTCAGTAAGGGCGGCATCTTGAGGGAGGAAATCCCACGGGGAAAGCGGAGATGCCCGGGGCAGGCAGCTGGTGGAAAGGAAAAGCCGGGTTTCCTTGTCCAAACACAGAAGAGGCGAGTGTGTGACCACCTGCCCATACATTCAGTGGTTGCCGTCCCTTGCTGTTTCCTCCTGCGGACGTTCTGTTCCCAGTGACGTTCTCAGAACGACGAGTAGTGTGGTGGGTCACGAAACCATGACAGAAAGAACAGACCCATCACGCGGAAATGTACCTGTTTCGTGATGTTGTCGTGTCCATACTTCGCCCCCTGGGATGTTGAAGACGCACCTCTCTTGTGAGCAACGCTTCCTGCTTACGGCAGCCCTGTCCTTCCACGCGGGGCGCACTTGCGTGGTCTCCAAGCGTCCTGCCCGGGACCCTAACCTTCCCAGGGTCCAGTTAGCATCTCGTCTCCCACGTGGTCCTCACACTTCATAATTAGGGCTCTGATTGACATAAATTAAACTAAAAATAACTCTCATCTCAAGACTTGGCAGATATTTTTTCCCATGCTGCTGGGGTCGATCTTTGACCTTTTTCTTTTTTTTTTTTTTTATCCTCACCCAAGGTCATTTTTCCATTTTTTGTTCAGATAGAGCGGGAGGGGGAGAGAGAGAGAGAGAAACATCGATGTGAAGGGACACATCGAGTGGCTGCCACCCGCACGACCAACCAGGGCCGGGGACAAACTGCAACCGAGGTACATGCCCTTAGTGGGAACCGAACCCGGGTCTCTGTACCGCAGGCTGACGCTCCAACCGCTGAGCCAAACCAGCCAGGGCTGACCTTTTTCATTCTTACATCTCATAGTGGCCCCGCCCTAAAAAAATGCCCAGAATGTCCTCAAGAATATCAAAACCTAGGGCTGTTTTCACAGATGCAAGAGGCTCTTCGATAGATAGAAGCAATGTTGGGGGCGGAACTTTATAAGAAGTAATAAATGCCAGGTCTTCAGCGGCAAAGTAGATGGCAACAAAAACAATGGCATCTTAGCTAATAGACAACAGTCCACTACTACACCGGCCCATTGCACGGGCTATTCTAAACCAGAAATATATGTCTGTTTAAATA